AATGACCTTCACCTATTTTCAAGGTCACAGGGGTCAAATATGTCAAAAACTTTAAACATCTTCTTCTCAATAACCAAAATGCCCAGGGAGATGATATTTGGCCAGTAGCATGCTTGGGTGAAGGGCTACCAAGTTTGTTCAAATGAATGACCTTCAATTATATTCAAGGTCACAGGGGTCAATTTATTAAAAAACCTTTAAACAACTTCTTCTGAATAACCAAAATGCTCAGGGTGATGATATTTGGCCAGTAGCATGCTGAGATGAAGTGCTACAAAGTTTGTTCAAATGAATGACCTTCACCCATATTCAATGTCACAGGGGTCAAATATGTTAAAAACCTTAAACAACTTCTTCTCAATAACCCAAATGTCTAGGGTGATGATATTTGGCCAGAAGCATGCTGGGGTTAAGGGCTACAAAGTTTGTTCAAATGAATGACCTTCACCCATATTCAAGGTCACCTTGGTCAATTGTTAAAAAATACCTTTAAACAACTTGTTCTGAATAACCAAAAGGCCCAGGATGTTGATATTTAGTCAGTAGCATGCTGAGATCAAGGACTACCATGTTTGTTAAAGTGAATGACTTATATTCATGGTCACAGGGGTCAAATTTGTTTAAAATCTTTAAACGACCTCTTCTGAATAACCATGGGTCCTGGAATGTTGATATTTTGCAAGTTGCATCCTGAGATGAAAGGCTATAAAATTTGTTCAACATCATGATCTTATTCGACTTTCAAAGTTTTAACGGATTTTTTGAATGAATTTTAATCATAAATACTGATATTTTGCCTGTAGCTTTATTTTAGATCACTTTTAGGTTACAAGTGTGAGATTTATACCAGGTGAGCGATGCAGGTCCATTGGGCCTCTTGTTTAAAATATCACTTTACATACTAGATATACTTCTAATCATTAACCTGTTTTGACATTTCAGATTTACCTGCTTTTGGTTGACACTATGCAACTTCCACAATGCCATGGAAATTGAGGTATCTGTTTCACATGTAGCTAGTTCAATGTAATTTGCTACTAAACTGACCTAGAATGATACAAAATATATCGAGTCATGTTTTGACTTTGATACATATGTACTCTAAGTTAATAAATACTGAATGAACCATTGTTCTTCCAACAACATATGTGCAAGGATTCGTATTCAGTGATAGTATCAATGACAGCTTTATATATATATTTGTTGTGCCACAAAAATGCTTACAAGACACTGATGCACTATAATATGGAACCTGTAAATACTGATATATAATTATTCAAATTTTCAATGAAGTTCTGTATGCCAGGAAGTTTTCGACTTGTCAAACTTTCACCCTTTAATGGTAAATTCTGTATTCTAATTTTGCCCTTCACTTTTAATGACTGCATACAGCATGCCTTGTATTAATAGTCACTGTCAGGATAAGTTCACCCTCATGATTGAGGGTGAAATAAGGTGAAAGTTAAAACTGCAGGGACAAATTTAATGGTTTTCAGTACTAATAGAGCAAATCAAACGGTGAATATACAATGGTTAAAACACTAGTTAAAATCAATATAAAACATGAAACGAAAAATGACACCCTCAGAAACTGACCTTTTAAAGACATAATATTTCGATGATTTCTGATTTCCCCCTATCTATATCATGCTAAATTGATGCTTTCGTGGGGATTTAATTTCGTGGATTTTTGTTATCCACGAAATAAATGAAATTTAATGTCCCACAAAAATTTATGATTTTATGAAAATACACGATGTTATCACAATCATTCATAGTATTGTTCCAGGAGCAGTCTGAATTGACAGGAAAATACTTTTGCTCCATTGTGATGTATGATTTATTATAAATGATGATGTATGTATATTTGCCCGTAGACTAAATGAAAAATGACTCTTTTACTAGGGTGATTAAGCTCACAACCCTGATTATGTTATAGGGCTATTGGCAGACAAGGCAAGTGCCTGTGTTACAACTGTTCTTATTGATATGTGGTTTCAAAGGGTCATACAATCAATTAAAAATGTTAATATCCTCATCAGTTTTGTTTATTATTGCAGTTTTTACCTGTTATTTCACCTAATGAAGAGGAAAAGGACAATGTCAAGCTTTTTGCAGAGAGGGTGCGAAGAACTATGGCAGAGTAAGTGTGATTTTGGTGTTTGTTATAAGAGTCAAGATGCAGTTTTAGACTTACCTGGTAGTCATGAGTCGGTATAAGACATATAGACATATTTGTTCTGTGTATACAAAACTAACATATTCTTTAGTAGGGTATACATGGATTTAATCCAGAGACTACCTTTGCTCACACCAGGATCTAGGGGAAGGAGGAGGTTATAACACATGTACTGTGTAGTGGTACAGGAAGTAGTAAACTTTCACCTTTTTTCACAGTTTGTGAATGTAGCAAACAAAAAATCATATATGCTATATTTTACAGAGCAATAATCATGGCTATAGTCTAGTAATGTATCTTTATGATATGAACTTAACCAGTCTGTAAAAAAGTATTTCAGCAGCAAACTTTGTGCCAGATTTGTTTTTCTTAAACATAAGTCAGTTGATGTTTTAACATCTGGTACCCAAACTTTATGTAATACAAATGTATGTATCTTACTGACCAGCTGGACAAAATGATATTAGAAGCATGTCTGAAATGCTAAGAAGTATATCATCTTATTTATTACTGCTTTGCATACTGATCTAAAAGAAATATGGATTTTAACATTTCTTGGTAGTAGAAAACGTTTTATCTAAAATCCTACCCACCCTGTTTTAGAAGTAACCAACACGATGAATATAGTAATTATGTACTATGTGTTGTGCAGGTGTTTAGGAGTACCTACCACAGATCACTCGTTTGATGATTGTCGACTAATGAAGCAGGCGGGCAAGCTAAAGCTGCCACTCTCTACGGGACTGGTCGAGTTCTCAAAACTTCATAATAAACTGGGGTAAGTCTTTCTCTCTGATATCCTAATAACAATGTCAAACAGAACCTATGAAATATCTCCAATAAGATTCCTCAGTTTGGAAAGATGTAATACCAAAGGTTTACTTTATGCACAAACAATGTATGTATTAAACGTGACACAACTTTGTCAAGCTAGCCTTGGTACTAGCTCCATCAACTTAGCTTTGTTAGCTTGGCATAGGGATCAGTCGGTCTTGAAACGTTGTGTCACATTTTATACGTTCACTGTTTGTGTAAAAAGTAAAACTTTTATAGAACTGATTAAAGTTGATTTATTGGTAAATTGACACTGAGAGGAACTGAATTATTGGTTCTATATGACTGTTGGTAAAGTGAGGGTTAGGACAAAGAAACCAATGTTTTTTTGTGGGCAACATAATCAGGACAGATATTGCAGGATGTCCTTTAGGCCAGGTGTCAGTAAATTCAGGTTTCACTGTGATGTTTTCTGGTTTTAATTTGATGTCCAGTATGAAGCCGACCTCACTTGTTTTAGATTTTCACCACACAGTCACATGCTCTGTTGGTTCTTCACAAACACATAAATAGGACTGTATGTTTGGTGCCTTGTTCAATACATTCATTTGTATATCTGTACTTGTGTTACTTTCTAGCACTCTGGTGATTGAGAAAAGGATACACTTATAAGTAAGACCAACAAATAAAAATTGCTATTTGATACAAAAACAATGCAAAAAAAAGGTTCTTGGTAAAAGCAGCTCACCCGAACAAAGTTGCTATGACGATCATGCCAGAAGACTTTCAGAGCCTGTATATATCTGTAAACATTTTGGGAATAATTGTAGTACACAATGTTTCCCCCTTTTCTAAATATTTGTACAGAACCCTTGTCTTATCACAGATCAAATAAGATATCCGAGTTGGGAGGGGTTGGGAAGCAGTGCTGTTTCTAAGGACAAACAAACAAATGTTTGTTTCCTGTTACATGTGTGAAAGTTAGGGTAGGTATGTGGGCAATAATTCTATTTTTCATTTTTTTTCCATAAGATTTGTATAGGAGAGTGATCTTGACTTAAACAGTGCTTCCTTGAAAATTTACAAAAAAATGTCGATAATAAGCACAGAAAATTAGGCACAACATTTGTCATTGGAAACAAAAGGAAACAAATCAGACTCAACAAGTTTTGTTAGTGATTTCGTGAAAATTGTAAAGGGGTTATAATAAGGCATTAGTAGCATAATGTCTTATTTCAGTCCTATAACTTTTAACCCTGCAGGCTTTCAGAATTTTAGCGTGATGGCATATATAACCTGAGGATCGGGCGACATTGCAAATTGTCTGGTATCAAAGTCATATTCATGGAGACCAATCTATCAGAACTGATTCTGAAATTACTAAAATATTTACTGGCAAAAATCAACTCTATTTCAGGGTAAAACTTCAAGATTTACAGTCAATGTTGGAAAGATATTCGTCCATAGCTCAAAGTAATACAGGGGTGATAACTCTAGATCAATTTGCCAAATATCTGCATCTGCCGAAGTCTGAAGCTCTGGAACAGGTGTTTGCCCTTTACGATAGAGTAAGTTTCAAATCCTATCTGTGTATGAAATTCTTAGGTGAATGCGTACTTAAACAGTTTTCTTATAAATCTGTTAATTCATGTGAATACTTTTTTTATAGCCTTTGCTATAACCAGTAACAGATTTAATGTATATAAAATCAATATTGAAATATGATATCTAGTTTCAATAATATTCAAATTAAAATTAGCTTTATTCTAGTAATACTTTAGTTATCATATCCAGTAACAGATTTAATGTATAAAAAGTATTAAAATATCTAGTTTCAATTATATTTAAATTAAAATACAGCCATATTCTTGTAATGTATGTTTAAAGAGAATTTCTGTTTTGATTACAGAACAGTTCGGGAGTGATAGACTTCCGGGAGTACGTTATAGGACTCTCCCTCGTGTCCTCTCCGGTAAACACAGAAGAAACCATCAAGTTGGCCTTCCAGGTATCAGGATATTAGATACACTCCATTAACCAAAGTCTGCTTTACTGGAAAAAATGGTTCTCTCCTTTTTCCAGTGTAGGCAGGCTAATATTTACAGCAATGGCATTTTTGTGGTGTTATCTGCCGAACAGCAAACATTTAATTTCCAGCAACCCCTTGTTGAGGAATACTGGAATTATCATTGTCAAATATCTTTGTATTTGGAATTTTCCAGTCCAGTTCTTCAAATCATTGAAATATAAAAAATAAATAGAAAAGTTTTAAGGTAAAAAAGATACTCCCGACAGATAACCCAAGGAGCTATTGCCCTACATTCATTTTTCATCAAAGTTTTACCGGAGGAGGGGGTAAATATTGATTGATTACAATTAATTGCTTTGCACTGTCTTGTGAAAGAGTTATCCATTCCCTAAAACTTACACAAATAGTGTATTTCCGCTGTTTGACACACAGTTACTGTATTTCAGCTGTTTGATAAAGAGGACAAAGGTTATATCAGCCGGGATGATCTCACCATGATCCTGCACAACGCATTCGGGATGGAAGACGTAGACCGGCTATTTGAACAGGTGGACACCAAAAACGATGAGAAGATCACATACGGTACGATGTCATCGACTTGTAGTTGTTTGTAGGATATTATCACAGTCACAGTGTCAGGGTTACAGACAAAAACTCTCATGTCTCTGTCCTTGTATCAGGGTTGTAGATGAAAACTATTGTGTCTCTGTCCTTGTGTCAGGGTTACAGACGAAAACTATTGTGTCTCTGTCCTTGTGTCAGGGTTACAGACGAAAACTCTTGTGTCTCTGTCCTTGCGTCAGGGTTGTAGATGAAGGCTTTTGTGTCTCTGTCCTTGTGTCAGGGTTGTAGATGAAGGCTTTTGTTGTCTCTGTCCTTGTGTCAGGGTTAAAGATCCCAGGCCAGGTTTATAAAACAAGATCACAGACCTCTAACTTAAGTGAAGTGTATACGAAGCGAACGCTTGGCTAGCGAGGATGACCTCAGCCAGATTCAGAAGGTTCTTTGTTTGCCTTAGTGCATTTTAAAACGAAAATAATAGAATATATAAATTTGCCAAGAAAATAACATCTGCCATAGTCTTAAACACACTTTCAAATGAAGTTGTTCACAGTCTTTCTTCATATTCTTCTTGATATTTTCTGTTGTCACTGTAATCAATTAAACAATAACGAGCTATAAAACCTGTTGGTTGTTTTAAGGATCTGATCTTCAATTGCTTGATAATCAAAGTCTTCTGGTAAACGTTAAAGGGTCCTGCTGTTTGTTTTAAAAAACAAAACAAAAAATTATCGAGAGGTTTCCTTGGTAATATAAGATCCGGATTGTCTTTAAAAAAAGTGTATATCAAATTTCACTGTATAAGAACTCTAAAGGTTTGAAAATTCACCCAGAAAACATAAGTAATGTGGTCGGTATGTATACAGAAAATGTTCAGACAGTGAATCCTTTTGACATAAAATCTTTGTGTTCACAGATGAATTCAAGGCCTTTGCAGAACTGAATCCTGAATATGCGAAGTTATTTACAACATATAGAGAAGCCAAAGTAGCTCCAGGAAACGGCCATGCAGCTCATGTTAAATCGGAGTAGTCGGCCATCAGTACTGGAGACTGTAACTCTGCAGGTGTTCTTTTACACGAAATACACAATTGATGCTGTTAGTCTTCACAAATGTGTGGCCACGCCCATTCCAGTTCAAGATAAGTCTCAATACCAGTGGCCTGTGAAAAACTGTGTTAGCCTGCATGATTATGTTTTTACAAAGGAAGTGCATTGTATCAACATAACCAAATGGGACATTGGACATTGGGCCATCAATAACGGGTTGCCCTAAATATCATTCAAGGAAAGCTACCATATCAAACCTGGTTATTTTGTTTTTATGTAAGGCAGTTCATTATTGAAATTGTTGTTTACACTTAAGGCTGTATGCTACCTTAGACACATGTGTAATTTGTGATAGTTGTATTCCTTACTTTTGTTTTATCAGAATTACCAAGTGTTATGACTGCATTTGTTCTTTTGAATGTATCACTGATGTTTTAAGCATGTGCAAATTCTCATTCTGCCAAATTTCTTTTTTATGTTTCTTAAATTGGAAGTCATTTTTGGAAGTAGATAAAACAGTGAGGTAGCATATCTATAAACCTAAGGACGAAAAAATATCTGACATCAAAAGTTTCTTAATTTTGTATATTTTGATTTACCACTGGTATATTACTTGTTTTAATTTCAAAACCCAAATTGAAGGTGCAGGCAACATTTATTTCTATTTTAAATTTTAAGAAATCGAGGTGAAGTTTTATAAAATTGATTTTACTGGAGTGTAATGGCATCGCCTGTTTGGTGATCGGTAAATAATGTGATATTTTTCTATAACTATTAAATGTGACCGTGAAAATGCCATAACCATCTCATTACAACATAGATATTGGTGTTGAGTTACTTATCCATAAAAGTATATTTCTTGACTATCTTATATAACATACAGCTTATACACCGATATATATTTTGTAATGGATTGGAAGATTTTCTGTATTTTCTATCCATTTTTCTTGCAGCGAAAATCTGAGATTATTAATGGATTTTTGTTCGTATGGGTGGGAGATACTTTTTTACTGGTATGATGACATTTACTGTTAAATATGAGCAATAGTGTGAGTGTTGGCCTTGAAGTTCCACATCATTATATAATTACCAGGCTCTGATTTCTCGAGGAAAAAATCCAAGTGTATTTCTTAGCATAAATTTGGCCTTGATTTGTATTCATTAAAGAGTTGTTCGATACTTTTGTGAAGTTTTATTAGCATTTTTATTATCAGTAGAAGATTCATGTTAATTATCTTCATATTTTAAAATTTTTACTCGCACTAAGATTCATTTGTCAGCCCTCAAAAGCTCTGGTCTAAAAGAATTTAAAGAATTTGAAATATATTTGAAATGAAGAAACCTGAAATGAAATCAATTAGCAATAAATATTTTATTTAAAAAAAAAAAAAAAAAAAAAAAAAAAATTAAAAAANTGAAAAATTGAGGCTGAGTTAAGTATTTTTTCTCAATTGAATGGTGGCTAGAAGTAATGAAGTTGGATCTGTACCTGTTTTTATATGGATAAGTGATCTGTATGGTGATCAGGGTCTTTTCTAGCACAGTGAGATTGTGTGTGAGTGTGTGTTATTGTGTGCAGAAAGTTTTATTTTGATTGTGTATGCTTGGTTTTATAAACGAGTATTTATCTTGCCTTAATATCGCATATATGGGCACAAAGGATTGAAGATGTTTTGTATTAGAAAGCTTGGCTGTTATCTTTTTTGTAATTCATGTCTTAATCCTAAAGAGAATTTTTTGGGGTTCATAATAATTTTTCATACAAAGTGACAGACCTTTCTCTACCCCATACAAGTCCTGATTTCCGTTGTTTTGTCATGTTTTATGTTACTGACTTTTATATAATTTTGATGCATTGTTTTCGCAAAATATCATATTTTCATTTTTCACAACGGAGGCTCAAACAACAAATTTGAGCTCATGAAGTTTTGAATGTCAGAGTTGTGCTCCTGCAGGAGTTTTAAATGTCAGCTTTGGACTAATGGATGTTTTAGCAGCAGATTTTAAGTTCTTTTTCAAAACAAAAAACGTATGATTTCCAAAAGGAGGCTCACACATCACATTTGAGCTCATGAATTTTGAGAGTGTCTGCCAGTGAATTGTTTTTGAGAAATGACGAGAAATAAGTTGGGTTTCGGGAAATATTTACTCAAGCAAAGTCAATCTGTCTCATTAATGGCTTGTGTGTATCCTCACATGTAGTATGGTCAAAGCATGTGACAATCATTTGCTATACGTTCAATGTTTATATACCTCATACAGTTCAATAATTTTCCACTAAACTAAGCTTAGTGGGGCAAACACCACAATGTTTGAAAATCTAAGGGTGCTTTTTGAAGACTTGAATGATTAAGTTTGAGGTGGAATTACATATGTAATTACCAGTAATATAAAAAATAAAATCTTTCTTTGTTGAGCTAGAACTTGTGAGCAAAATTCAACTCGCATGCAGTCTGTCAATTAGAAGTTGTATATGATTCCAGATTAAGGGAACAACATCCATGGTTGAAATGATTCTGTTTATATTCTGTGTAACACTCTAATACGACATGTTGTAAAAGTAGCATGTTTCAAGATATCTTGGCTCTGGTCAGAGGAAGTATGTCAGGTCAAGAGAATCTTGTATTTAAATGTGAGAGCTGATATGTATGATAAATAGATAGATAAAAATGACACATGAAATTCTGTCTGCTTTCCTGAAGGAAGATTGAAAACGATGTGTTGGAGGGTTAAACTATGATATATATTAGTAGCTCAGTTTGTTTTTTCCCTTCTGGAGAGAAGCAATGCGACCTAGATGTGATTTATAGTTAGTAGTAGTACGTTATTATGTATTTATTGTGGTCAAAGTACCCAATGAAAATGTGATACTACATACCATCTATTGTAGACTAAACACATGGTATTGGTGCTGGGTTTCAATTATTCAATTGATAGAGGTTTAAGACAGAAATAGAATTATATTGTTTAATTAAAACTTATTAAGACTGCACATACTGAAATAAAACTAAACTTTTCAAAACCCCACTAGTTAAAAAACAACAACATGCTTTCTGATTTTATAACACTTTTAATATGCTCAGATTGAAACCATATACAAATTCTTATATGTCACATTTAAATGAATTTTCTTGTTAATAATTTAATTCGTTATGTCTACATGTATTGGGTATCCTTTATTCAAAAACACAAAAATTGGATATCCCTTATTTAAAAACACAAAAATTGGGTATCCCTTATTCAAAAACACGACTTTGGGTTTCTGGGATTTCTTTAATGTTTGATGACATTCTGTGTGAGTATGTATGTTGACATTGACTGCTTGTTATTATTTTGCTTGTTTTATGTATAAAACATTGTTTAAGTGTTATGTAGTATCAACCGTGGATACAGTTATATTTATACCAAGTGTAGATAAAACATAGATAACAATGTAACGGCACTCAAAAAACAATCAATATCAAGTTGTCTCTACCGCAAACAGGGGTCTATACAAATCTACCAAGCAAGCATAATAATGTTTCTATGTAACAAATCCAGACCATATCAAAGTACAAATGTACATGAATTTCAGATATGTCAAAATTCAAATATTATAAAAATATTTTTGGTTAATATCATTTTAGTTTTGAAATTTAAGAAGAAAGAAAGAAAAATTAAAGGGGAAAAAAAGGGAAAAAAGACAACCAATTTATTTTTTGGAGGGGGCAAAGTGATTGATTTGTGTTTTTATTTTATAGATCTATGTTTCAATGTAAATACATGTACCCCTTACCAGATATTTATCAGCGGATGTACAATGACAAATCAGTATTATTTGCCATAATAACTATATAGCACAAAGTATTAACCATCAAAATTGTCTTACTTTTTATGTACCTATGGTGTTTTTTTTCAACAAATGATACTCGGCATTTTAAGTATCAAATGCTGGACATTTTCGTGCGCGATGTCTTATTTATGAAGTGACTCATTCTAAAATTAAAATCTTCAACCAATATAAATTCCATATAGATAATTGCTATCAATATTAAAATATTATCCCAATTGCATATGTTTGCATATGAAACCTACAGACAAAGGCAAAGTTCATGAAATAATAATGACCAAGTCCACAGCTTTACACAGTTGTTATAGACAGGGGTACAAAATTATCTCGTGTATCTAAAGGGGGTGGGGGGTGGGGNGAAAAAAAACCTTCGCTTTTTTTACAATTTACGAGATGCCTTTATTGTAAGCCTTGATCATTATGTAACGCTGTGATGCTTTGATGCTCTTTACAGCCAAAAGTATGGTAATAATACAGCTTCTAGAGGGACAAAACAATTATCTGGAATCTGGAAGGAGAAACACTGAATGTACTTCATTTTGTAGTGTATTCAGATCATGGGTAGATTTTGTATTAAGACTTTTGGCCTAATGTCTGTATCACTTTTATAACTTCAATCTATTTTGTAAAGCGATATTGAAGGTAACTGAAATAAATATTACTGTCAGTAACCATTTAGTTGTATTGTAAAATCAAATTTTTATACTTCATCGCTAATATGCAGCTCATTATTGAAATATTTTCCACTTCCTTTATTTGAAAGTGCCTAACCTGTTCTTGGTTGAAATTAAACGACACTTAAACTTATAAAATAGAAAAAGATGTTAAGGTTTGTATCACGTTATTTCATAGATTTTCTACTAATTCATCACTGATAAATTTAGAAAAAAAAGAAAATATCCTTTTTTGCAATATATTTTTCAAATAGAAACAAAATATGAAAATACATTTTAGGATATATTGTTGGTATGAGGTATTACATGGTTTGTTTTTGTTACAATTGTATTACATTTTCCTCTAACGAAAATGTATATGATCATCTCTAGTCATATTTTCATGCTTATTTTTATATATTTAATATCTCCCCATCCCTTTTAACCCTGTCCCTCCTGTAATATGTAAGAATTGAAGCCAGAACCTTCCCAAGTTCTTGGGTGAATTTACTTTACCGGTACTTCCATACTGCCTGATAGGCTGAACTAATGATGAGCGTGAATGTTGTCTGTCATCGTTCTTGCTGCAGACACAGTTTGGAATTGTGTTACATTTACACATTGAACAGTGATCATCATGTGAGACATGTTAAAGCCATTTGTCGGCGAAAAGTGTTATATGAAGCAAAAGATGACATTAAGAAATACTTATCAATGAAAATTAAACAATTTAGTGGGAAGTTAATGACTGTATGTAGCTCTATGGTATTTTAAGAGTTGAGATTTGTAATACAATGGTTACGTAACAAAGTTAGTGACACAACCTATTTAAAAGCTTTTATTGTCTAATATTTTACTTCAAATCAAGATGTGACATTAATGGACCCATTGAAAGAAATGTCACCATCGTTTATAAGTAATGTTAAGATATGATACGTCAGGCGTTTAGCAATAGTTATGGTTTCCCATTAAGTATGTTTATATTTCTTGATTATGACAGATATTTTCGTGAGTACACCAGCACAAGAGAAAGTATAGAGCATACAAGTGAAATATTTTTTTTTATTCAGTGGGAAAGAAAGCATTCAATATTTTGTTAATAGATTTTAAAGAGAAGATTACCCCCAACAGTGGGAATGTTTCTGCACACTAAGATTCCTTTACATTGTGAGGCAGGACCTCAGTTATAGATGTCTTCTATAAAGCACATTTCAAACTTCCTGATTGGGTTAGGTAGTCCTTGCTTTTGTATACTGTTTTGCTTCTTGCCAGTTCTGTTGTTATATTTTATTAACTTAATCATATATTTCTATTCATGTTTCATAAGTTATTCTCTTCTTGTACTCATTGTTCAAAACATTAGTGAAGGAGAAATCCTGTTGAATTTTAAAGTATGTTTCTATTGTCTTTTAATAGTTATTGGAGAATGTGTTATTTTCGCTATGGGTTAGGTTGTTACATGGTAGATTGTAGAAGGAACTATCACTATATAATTGGAAAGTAGTATCATAGTCATATACCAGGAAGATAACTCACTTCATAAGTAGACTGAGTATTTTTTTCATGAGTAGAGTCGGGTAGTAACATACCAAGATTTGGTGGAGGAAAAGGTTAAATTTAGGAAATTTTGAATTTAGAAAAAAAAAAATGTCATGAGAATGTATTCATATTAAATGTTGCAAAAAGAAATGTTGACTCAGGTCATTGGTTGGAAATTCACAAAGATTGAGTTAAACATTTAATTTTGAAGTGTAACCATGACAGTAGAAATGGGATATTAGGAGAATTCTAGTGATGGTATTTGTGGTATTTGGGTTGGGTTGTTAAAAATACAATCATGATTGTTGTGTTCTCATCAAGGTATGTATTTATACCAGGAAGGTGTGCGATTATAGTTATTTCCT